ACCCTCCGCGGGGGACAAACGAGCGCGGGAACACCGAGGCCTTTTCACGTCCCGTCCCCCACAAGGTAAAAAGGTGAACTGGGCCCACCGGGCGTCCAGACCTTGTCCTCAGGGCCCCATGAACAGGAACTGTGGTAAACTAGCACATTGGCGCACCCGAAAGAATCGCAGCTGTGGGTCGACTTGTTCCCTGTACTTCATGATCTCCAGCTGGAAATGTTCAGAGGCCCGGCTGCAGTGCCATGGTCTGAGCTGCCCTGGGACGCAACACGCAACACGGAGCGTGCTGCCACAAAGCTCAACACGCAGATTGAAAACGTGTGTCTGCCGCGATGCATTCACCAAGTGGGCCGTCACATGGCGGGCTCCTGAAACCCTGGACCCACAAAAAACATCTTTGGGGGGACGCACATTTTACTTCCGCCGGCTTCCGCTAATTTTCCGCCGATTTCCACCGGCCGCTCTCGTTTTACCTCCGCCGCCTTCTGAAGGCCTCCCGCTGCCTTCCGCCGAGGATGACATGCTAACCCCATCGGTCCTCGAAGGAGAGGCCCTTTCTGGAACGCCTCATGTGCCCAGCCAAAACGCACCGCGTGGGATGGACGCTTAGACGACGGCACGTGTTGAATTTCAGCCCGTGCGCGTGTCGAGGCCTCCTACATGAGGTCCGAAACGGTGGGGTCGGAGGATGACGCCGCATCGCCGGTACATCGGCGATGCATCGGCGATGCATCGGCGATGCACCAGCGAAGGCATCGCCCGAATCGAGCCGCATCGCCGATGCGCGATCCTCCGACTCCATCTACCCCGACCCCATCTGGGAGGCCTAGAAGCACGCACGGCGCGTGTTGAATCTCAGCACGTGGGCAGCAGGGAAGCTACGAACGAACGAACCAACAGTGCGGACAACTGTCTGGGCCTCGTGAGACCAAACGGGCGCGGCCTCAGACCCCCGAGAGGCTGCAATGTGTGACGAGACATGCACACGGGGAGCGAAGCGAAGCGAAGCGAACGCTGGAGTCGTGCGCGCTCCTGGGGGAGCCCACCCGTGCCCCGTAGGGCATGGCGTCGAGGCCGTGACCTCAAAAATGTGATACGTAGGCGGGCTCACGTGACAACCGCCACTCAGCGTACCCAGCCGTTGATAACCACCGCAAGTGGTTCGTGCTGCTGTGTTTTGTCGTGGTTGGATCGCCGCCAGACTCTGCTCCTGCCCGGTGTCGGCGTCGCAGTGATGCCCGTCCAGATTGTGGAGACGCTTCTGAATGTCGTCATCCCACCATTTTGGTTGCCTTCCATGTTGCCGCCGTCCTCGTTGTCGATTGTTGAGATTCGGACTCCAATTAAGCACTCTCTGTGTCCAGCGTGGCGAAGGTTGAAGAGCCACCGTGTTCGCCCAGCGCCAAGCCTTCACTCGGCGTACGTGGAGTACATCAGGCATGCCATGTTTGAACATCGGTGGCTCTGCTCGCGCCGTACGTCATAATAGTGATAACGGTGCCCCTGTACAGTCGTAGTCGGTGCCGCAGGTGGATAGTGTTTGCTGGTGGGTTCATATCCGTGGCTGCTGAAGAATGCCCATGCTGCTTGAATCCGGTGGTTTACTTCGGTTGTAGGTGCGTCGTGGAAAGTAACGGCCTGGCCCAGGTAGGTGATGGTGCTTGTTCCTGGTAATATGTCGATGTCCACTCCTGCTACTTCAACTGTTCGGTCGCGGTGCCGAGGCTGGTTGGTCATGATTTTGGTCTTAGTCGGGTACAATTCCAATCCGTGCTGTTTGGCTGCGGTGATGAGATCGGAAAGCATTGCTTTTAGATTGGGCAGCGTTTGGCTTGTCAGCAACATGTCGTCTGCGAACCGAAGGTTCGTTCGTGTCGCCGCATCGGTGTGTCCCAGTTGGACGCCTTGGTGCCTCCTCTGCCAAACTGAACTCAGCGGTGCTACGACGTGTTCGACCAGTGCATTGAATAGTAAAGAATTCAACGGATCCCCCTGCTTTGTGCCGCGTCGGAGGTCGAACAGTTTACTAATGGTGTCGGTGCGGACCACGGCTGTTTGGTCTTTGAACATGCGTCGCAGAAGGTCTACGTACCCAGGCGGGACGTCTGGGTGAAGCAGAGCCTCAGGCTGTCGTGTTCGACTGTGTGAAAGGCCTCTTTATAGTCTATGGCTGCAACCCAAAGATTATGCTTCCATTCGGTTGTTCTTTTCACGCAGGATGTTGAAAGTAAAGAGGTGGTCGGGCGTGCCTCGTCCGGAGCGAAAACTCGCCTGGTCGTCGGGTTGCTGTGAGTCTAAGGTTTGCTGTAGCCTGTTGTACAATAGTCGGCCAAAGAGCTTGACAGCATCGGTATTGCGCAGATCGGGCGATAGTTCTGTGGAAGAGTTAAGTCGCCAGGCTTGGGGATCACAGTGATGACAGCTTTTCTCCAGCTGGCCGGCGTAGGGGCATCTGTCTGTATATAGTGTTGCACAGCTGCAGTAAGGGACGCTGGAGCTCCAGACTTGGAGCAGTTCAGCGCGAATTTTATGAGTGTCTGGTGCTTTGCCGCACTTGAGCTGCGAGATTGCTGTGGTGAGCTTCGTCGTCGTGAAATGTGGAATATGGGGTGGCTTGGCGTTTGCGGTTGGCGTGAGGTCATGGCTGCGGGAGAAGGTACACAACTGAGCGAAAATAACTGCAAATGAGTATGCTATCCCTTGTCGCGTTGTCTGCTTGGTGCCGTCGGCCCCCACCATGTCTGAAATTAGCGTACTCCTCCGCTGTGCGTTGATTAAGCGGACTGTTTGGGGGCCCTTGTACTGTTCCAACATACTGCTGATTCGCTCCCTCCGGTCAGTGCGCTTCTGTCGTCGAATGCTCTGCCGGATCTGTTACTGATTGCTCGTCGGGCAGTGCTGTCTGCAGTAGGCGTGTTCTGTCGATGCTTGAGCAGGTCCTCGATGATGTCGTGAAGTTGCTGGTGCGTGGTGTCGTGGTTGGTGTTTGCCGTGCCTGCTCGCGAAGGGCTGCAGGCGGCGATGGCTCTGTGGATTGTGGAGGTGCACAAGCTCTTCTCGATGATGCGGCTGAGCTTCTGCGGGTCTGTGGGAAGTGCTCCAGGTTGCAATTGGGAACCCAAGTGCCGCTGTACTCTCCAAAGCTACGCCTGCCCAGTGCCCGCTTCAAGCGTCGGCGCGCGATGTGGGATGTCCTGGACGGCGTGTAGTTCTACCAATCGGTTAAACTGGGAAACGAACATGAAGTACGACGTCTTTGCGATGCGAGCTGAGATCTGCGACGCTCGTGGCCTCCGCGTTGGTGCACAAAGGAAGTAGGCTCTACCTGTATGTAATCGTATTGTCGCGGGGTGTCTGCGGTCGTGGTGTAAGTGATCTGTCTGTATGGGGGGTATGGCGGAAGGAAGTGCTCACGATGGCGAGCCTCTCGGTCATGGCCCAGCGTCGCAACCACTGCCCAATGGAGTTCTCGTCGCCGTATCCGTGAAGACCACAAAGCAAGAAGAAACGGCATTGATGTTCGTCGTGGCGTCCTTCGGTGCTGGGTTCGGGCGCGGTTGCGCACCAACCTGGGCATTGAAGCCTGCTGCAAGAATGGTACGTACGTTTCGGATGCGGGCCTCTTTGAGCATAGCACCAATCCCGTCGTGCATCCGCGCCATCTGTGGATAATCATTGTGGCCAATTTGCGCTGATTGCCTGAAACTCATACATGTATCTATATAAATATATCTGACGGCTCCAGCGCTTGTATAAAAGAACTGCTACTCCATGGCAGCGCCTATCGTTTCCAGACCCTGCGAAAGTATGCCCTTCGACTGTAACCCAAAACTCTTGTGGCTGTGTCTTCCGGGTCTCGTCGATTATAATGGCATTCCAATGGTGACTTTGTACGTCTCATATAAACTCCTCGATGCGGTCGTCGGTTTCCAATGACCTCGCACTACCATGAATTATGGCGGGGCTGCTGGTGCCACTGGTGTCGCTGGTTGGTGCTGGTGGTGCTAGGGATGGTTGGCCAGAGATTGCAGGAAGGGGTCGCTGCGAAAGGCAGCCGGGGAAGTCGCCGTCGACGTTGGCGAATTCCGCTCGTCCGCCGCTGGGGCTGAAGCACTGCGGTAGAAATCGCGAGGACGCAACAGGAAGTCGCCCTCGACAGCACTGTACTTTCCCCGTCGTCACTTCGTCACTGGACGCTGGAACTTGATACCTAAATGGAAATGGAGGTGAAAAGTCGGATGTTAGAGGCTGGGGGTCGGAGTGCTGCGCTGGTGGATGCTGGAAATCGTTTGGTGGAGGTGGAGGTGGAAAGTCGGATGCTGGATGCTGGAGGTCGGAGTGTTGAGCTGGTGGGCGCTGGAGGTCGATAGGTGGCTGGGGGGGTGAAATGTTGAATGCAGGTGAGACCGACGACCAAACACGGACTATTAGCGCCCTGTGCCAACAACACCGCCAAATCCCTTACTTTTCTGGCTTGCGGCCGTGAACGATCCAAACGGCAGCAGAGCGGCGGCGGAACGCTGCCGGAGCACAGCCAGGCACTGAAGGGACGCGGGGAGGGAAGCCCGGAGGACGCAGGAGGGAGGCGGCACACTCAGACTGTAAAGACCGCCGCATGCGTGCCAAGGAGCAGTCAAACCCCACACAGGCCACCGGCGCCGACTCCACCCAGCATCACGGAAGCTGACCTGGCCTCGCGGGGCTCGAGGTCCTCCCCCGGCGCCCCCGCCGTCACGCGCCTCGAGCTCGAGCAACAGTCCGCCGCCCAGAGAGGCCCCGCCGCGAGGAGACGCCCCGTCCCCCAAAGAATAAGCGGGTACAGGGAGGCACAGATGGACAAACACAAATCCCAGGATCTCCCATATGAGTGTATACTGACTGGGTTCCCCTCTCCCCCTGCAAATTCCAGATACCCCACTCTTCCAACAAGAAACCACCTTCGTGTGCTTGAGCCGATGCTCCCCTCCTGACAAGCACTAGCGAGGGAGCCGCCAGCAGGCCTTGTAGCCGCGCTGGGCCAGGTAGAACGACAGCGGCGTCTTGCCCGACCTGTGGCACCGCCCGCTTGCTGCAGCCGTCGAGCTGCCACAGGGAGCGCCGAACAAGGAACGAGGGGGCTGCTCTCGCCACGGCGGGCGTCGGCCACGCGTGCGCTCCCCGACCCGGACGGGACGCCCGTTGTGAACAAGCTGCAGCTGCAGCGGCAAGACTTCGAGGTCCCCTCCCTTCCCTATCGCTCGTCGTTGTCCTCCTCCTCCTCCTCCTCCTCCTCCTCCTTCTCCTCCTCCTCCGCCTCCTCCCTCTCCTCCTCCTCCCCCTCCTCCTCCTCCTCCCCCTCCTCCTCCTCCTCCTCCTCCTCCTCCTCCTCCTCGTCCTCCTCCTCCTGCTCCTCCTGCTCCTCCTACTCCTGCCCCTGCTCCTCCTGCTCCTTATCCTCCTCCTTTCCTACCCATCCTCCCTCCCCAGCATTTCCCCCTCTGGCCACCAGGCGGTCCTTGTGTCAGCGTCTTGGCAGCCCTGGCCGAAGCCTGAGGGGTGCTGGCCGGCCGGCGCCCACTGCAGGCAGCGTGGCGCGGATATCCTGGAGGCTGCCGAGCCTTCCCCGGTGGTCCTCGCCCGACGCCTGCGCGCCTCACCTGCTCTGCCACCTCAAACTTTGGACGCCCGAAATGGGTACGGAAAGAATGGGTACAATGCCCAACAGCAGTTCCTGTTCATTATGAACAAGACTCGCTGTCGCTGTCGCCGCGGCCTGTGTCCATTTGAGACAGAAGGCCGCCTGCCCAACAGCGGCCGCTGTTGGTTTGGGACAACAGTTGTTGTTGGGCATTGTGCCCATTGTTTCCGTGCCCATTTCGGGTGTCCAAACAAACATCACGATGAGACACGGGACATGCATTCCAGGGGGGTCACCACTGTGTGGCATACCTCCCCCCCCTCTTGGCACCCCGCGCCGAGGGACGGCACGCGTCGTCGCGCCCGAGCCAACCTCCGACGCCTGAAGGCTCGATGAGTGGAGGCGCATTCGAGCCCACGTCCGGCTGTTGCGCGACGGCGCATCCCCTCTGCCTAGCCGTGCCCACGGCTCGGGGTACAGTCCGACCCTGCCCCTCACCCGGCGATGCTGCCACTTCCGCCTGTCCACGCGCAACGCATGCGCTACTGCTCGTCGTTGTCCTCCTCCTCCTCCTCCTCCTCCTCCTCCTCCTCCGCCTCCTCCCTCTCCTCCTCCTCCCCCTCCTCCTCCTCCTCCTCCTCCTCCTTGTCCTCCTCCTCCTGCTCCTCCTGCTCTACTGCACGTGTGATTCCGCCCGACCCTCCACGGTCCGAGACCCATCCCAGAGACAAGGTGTGCTGCTGCCAGCGGCTCCCACATGTAAGTCAGCTCCCGGGGGCAGGCCGAGCAGCGAACGTGCTGACAACGAGCCCGCTGGCGTGTCAAGCCCCCGAAGCGAAGCAACGAGGCACGAAGGCGATCTGGCGGCCAGCCTGCAAGTCGGCCCGTGGATACTCCGTGACGCAGCTGACTACGCTGCTGGGTCTGGGTCATTTGCGCCCGAGCCCGTGGGCCGTAGCGCTATCAAACATTCCCATTGCCCGAACAGCTTCGAAGGAGTAAGGGAGGAGCCCGTGCAACAACGTCGGCTGCCACGCCACCGAACCAGCGGCTGCCTGCATAAAACTAATCATGTTTGCAATCGTTGGGTCTTGGCGTGGTGGGCCATTACAAACTGGCGCGCAAACGAATAGCTGCCAAGGGCGACCATAACTGATAGCAATCACGGTGGAACCACTCCTTGGCACTCCGAGATCCAAGCCCCATGTCATTCGTCTTCTGCGAGTCGCGCAAGGTCGCGGCAAATCCGCAGCCCCCCTGAGCGTCATCATCACCGACCGTATTTGGCAAAGGCGCAATCTTTCTGTGCCAGTTTTCGATCGGCTAAACGTAAGATTTGGACGCCCGAAATGGGTACGGAAAGGATGGGTACGATGCCCAACAGCAGTTCCTGTTCATTTTGAACAGGACTCGCTGTCCGCGCCGCCGCGGCCTGTGTCCATTCGAGACAGAAGGCCGCCTGCCCAACAGCGGCCGCTGTTGGTTTGGGACAACATTTGTTGTTGGGCATCGTACCCATTATTTCCGTACCCATTTCGGGCGTCCAAGTAAGAGTGACCCTGGGTAAGAGTGACCCTTGGTGCGCGGCTGAGCGGGGGACGCGGGGACGCGCGAAGCTGGGCGCGCAGGCAGGCCGCTGCTGCCGCTCGCGCGCTCAGCCATCGCGGGAGCTCTCTTGGGGCCCGCACCGAAGGGCCACTCCGGCGAAAGGCCCCTCTCCTGCGTGCAGCCGATACTCCAGATCTCGCAATCAAAGGGAGGGGGGTCTCCTTTCGGGGGGGAGGGGGGTCTCTTCCAGGCTATCTGGGAGGGCCTGGGGGGTCAGGGGACGATGTTTTGGAGGGTTCTCCCACGGGGGAGGAGGGAGGAGGAGAGGAGGAGGAGGAGGAGAGAGGAGGAGGAGGAGGAGGAGGAGAGGAGGAGGAGGAGGAGGAGGAGAGGAGGAGGAGAGGAGGAGGCGGAGGAGGAGGAGGAGGAGGAGGAGGATGAGGAGGAGGAGGACCCCCTCCCTTTTATATTACGAAATCTGGAGTATACTCGAGCCAGCTCGAGCCACGAGGGCCCGGCGGCCCGACCGCCCGGCAACAGAAAAAATCGCCGGGCGCGAAGACGGGGGCAAGGGGCCCCGCAGGGCCCCGCGGGCCGAGCGCTGGGGGGGAGAGTGCGAGGCGGGGAGCTGTCCAATATGGGCGCCGCCGGGGAAGCGACGCCCCGGTGTCCCAGCGGGCGGTGGAAGTGGACACTCCAGATTTCGTAGTACAAGGGAGGGGGTCTGGACCCTCCAAGGCAAGCCATTTCAGACCTCCCCCGCGGGAGAACCCTCCAAAACCTCGCTCCCAGACCCCCCAGGCCCTCCCAGATAGCCTGGAAGAGACCCCCCCCCCCCGAAAGGAGACCCCCCTCCCTTTTATTACGAAATCTGGAGTATGTGTCAGCCCCCCGGGGGGCCCGAACACGTCCATATCCACCGCCTGCCGAGGTCCCCGAAAATTGGTCCTCCAGGCGGTGGTCATGTATAAATCCCTGCCTCGGAGGGAAAGGGGCCAGGCCCCCCCTCCCAGCACGATCGTTAGCGCCACCTGTGGGAGGGGGGGGGATGAAGCCCTGGTAACGAGCGTTACGTCGGGGAGGGGGAAAAACGCGCACCAGACCCTTCAGACCCGAAGTCACAAAAACAACAGCATGAAACATCACGCTGGGAGCCCCAGACCCCATCTGTCTGCGCCACTTTTCAAGCCAGATCGATCCGTGAGGGCCCCTGGGCTCGAAATGGGGCGAAAACGCACGACTCGGAGAAAAAGAAATGCCAGGATCTAGTCAGAGAGAATCGGCGACTCCAAAGGGTGCGGTTTGCGCAAAGGGTGTGGTTTGCAATCGGCACCCCGGGGGGCACCATGGGGGGCGGGCGGGTGCCTCGATAATTGGAGTTCTCCGCCGCGCCCCGAGGAGGCCCGACGAGGACGGTGTCGTGCCCTCCAGGCCCCCACGGTGCCGATCGCAAGCCACACCCTGGCGTAACCGCACCCTTTGCAGTCGCCGAGAGAAGCCAGAGGCGTGCCAAGACCTTCCGTGGTGGTATCCGCCACGGTGCGAGGAGGTCCGGGGAGGGGGCCCGGGATCGAAGGGGGCCCGACGCCTGGACGGGCCCAGGAGCAGCAGGTGCGCCTCGTGCCACCGCTTCGGGTTGACGCCGTCGTCCTCCTGCCTGGCTTCGGGCGGCGCGCGCGGGCCCAGACTTGTGTTGCCCCCATCGTACTTCAGGACCACATCCCAGAAATTCGCCGGCCCCACGGGCCAGAGGCGTGCTAAGATCTCCGGCAACTACTTCACAATGTTTCTAGTTCGCGCGCGCGGGGCGGCCCCCCCGGACGAAAAGTACCCTGGCTGATCCCCGGCCGGGTCCCGGGCGATCCCCAGGGGGAAGGCTATTTTTCGCCACCCCTCACGAGGATCGTGGCCTCCGAGGGGGGGGGGCTGCAATCGACTACCCCCCCTCCCGCCCCAAGGGGCCCCCAAGAGCCCTCAAGAGGCCCCAGGGGAGCCCAATACGCCGCCAAGGAGCCCCAAGACGCTCCCAAGAAGCCCCCGAGAAGCCCCCAAGACGGCCCCAAGAGGCCCCAAATAGCGCTCCAGGGCCGGCGGAATGAGCGAAGCGATTAATAATTTCGAGCACCCGGAAAAGTGTGGAAAGAGTGTCGAAACAATGTCGAAACAGCGTCGGACGAGTGTTTCCCAGGGCCCGACACGTGAAAATCCTAAAATTTCGGTATGTTTTTCTGGTGCTCGAAATTCTTTGAACCCTACCCCTACCCCCCACGATTTCTGAGGGGGGGGGGGTCACTTCGCTCGGGAGCTCCCGAACGAAGTGAACCCCACCCTCCCCCTCAGAAATCGTGGGGGGTAGGGGTAGGGCTCGCACGTGGCCCCCTACGACGATGCCACTTCTTCAACAGCGGTGTGTGCTTTCGCTACGTCGCAACATCCACATGTGTCGATGCTGCCCCCGGTTGGCTCACCGCGCGTGCCGTTCGCGTCGCGGGCCAGGCGACAAGAGACCGCAGAGCCGATCCACGACGCCATGGCAATCGCCTCCGGGAACCGCGATCGAGCCCCAGGGCCGTCAGGAAGGGATCCGGGCCGAAACGTGGAAGGAGTCGGTGCCTCTGGGGCGAACGCACATGCTCGCCATCGCTCGGACCTCCGTTCCCCGCGCATGTCTCGGCTTCGCGGGTCTGTGCTGTCGCACGAGGACCCAGGATGCTCCTCGAGGGTCCTCGCCCAGGAACGATGCACACCTCCGAACGATGTCGGACGTGGACGGCTAGGGGACAGGGCAGGTCCAGCAAGGCCGATCGGGCCGCTGCCGGGCTCTGCCCTCGAGGGTCGAGGAGGGGGGGAGGTCCTCGAGCGCCTGTCGGCATTGGGGACGCCAGGTCCCGAGGGAAACGGGTCCTGGGCCCTGGCGCCTTCCCCCCGGACGAGTTGTGCCTCCTGAGGTCCTTTTCTGACGAGTCCCGGGGCCCGTGCAGGGCCCCGAGGGCCCGAGGACGGCGAAGAGACCTCGGGGCCCATCTCCCTCAGGGCCCGCCTTCCCCCGTGGCGAGGGGAGGTTCTCGAGCGCTCTCTGGACAAGCGAGGCTCCACTGCTCGCAGAGTGACTACTCGCAGACGGTCTGGACCCGCTGCGAGGGATCTGTGATACAGCCGAACATGCGATTCAGAAAACGATCGGGTTAGAAACCTGGGCCAGCTTCCCAGAAGTTTATGAAAACAAGCCTGGGCCAATTCCTGTTGTTGAAGCTGGAGGGGCGAACGTGCTCAAGAAACTGGGCCAGCTCTCCGGCGAGGTGGTCGAGAAACGCTGGCCTAGCTTTTCGGGAGGAGGCTTCTTTATCAGATGCTCGACTGTACACTACATCGAAGAAAACATGTGCTCTGGCGACTCTTACGAGCAGGCACTCTGCGAGTAGTGTAACGCTCTCGGTGCCTCTCGGAAGGGAGATTTGGACGCCCGAAATGGGTATGGAAAAAATTGGCACAATGCCCAACAGCAAATGTTGTCCCAAACCAACAGCGGCCGCTGTTGGGCAGGCGGCCTCCTGTCTCAAACGCACACAGGCCGCGGCGACACCGACGGCGAGTCCTGCTCAAGACGAGCAGGAGCTGCTGTTGGGCATCGTACCCAGTCTTTCCGTACCCCCTTCGTTCGTGCCGACGGGGATCGGCTAGGCGTGAGAGTGACCCCGAGCAAGAGTGACCTTTTGGTGCGCAGCTTTTGGGGGCGCGCGGGAGCCGCACCCAAGGGCGCGGGCCGCCTTGTGTATCGCATCGCGCCCGGCGATCGGGGGGCAGCCCCCCATGAGCCCGCACCAGAGGCCCCTCCGGCGAGAGGCCACTCTCGAGGCCCAGGCGAGCCCGGGGAGGCCTTGTATCGAGCGCTCTGTGGCGGCCCGTGCCGGGCCTCCGCGGGGGGGGGGGGGGGGGGGGGGGGGGGGGGGGGGGCGCCCGCCCGGGGGCCCCCCCGCGGGAGGGTATCCGGCGGTCGGGGCTCCCGGGGCGAGGCGGGCGGCGGGCACGGCGTCGGGGCGGGGCAGCAGCTCCGCCTATGGATGGGCCTGTTTTCCACCAGCACCACCAGAAAGTTGGAGGAGGGGGGGGGGAGGAGGAGGGGGAGGGGGGAGGAGGAGGAGGAGGAGGAGCAGGAGGAGAAGGAGGGGAGGGGAGGAGGAGGAGGAGGAAGGAGGAGGTTGAGGAGGAGGGAGGAGGAGGAGGAGGAGAGGAGGAGGGAGGAGGAGGAGGAGAGGAGGAGGAGGGAGGGAGGAGGAGGAGGAGGAGGAGGAGGGAGGAGGAGGAGGGGGGAGGAGGAGGAGGGAGGAGGAGGAGGAGGAGGAGGAGGAGGAGGAGGAGAGGAGGGGGAGGAGGGAGGAGGGAGAGGGAGGAGGAGGAGGGAGGAGGAGGAGGGGAGGGAGGAGGGAGGAGGGAGGAGGGAGGAGGGAGAGGGGAGGAGGAGGAGGAGGAGGAGGAGGAGGAGAGGAGGAGGCGGAGGAGGAGGAGGAGGGAGGAGGAGGAGGAGGAGGAGGAGGAGGAGGAGGAGGAGGAGGAGAGGAGGGAGGAGGAGGAGGAGGGAGGAGGAGGAGGAGGAGGAGGATGGAGGAGGGAGGAGGAGGAGGAGGAGGATGGAGGAGGGAGGAGGAGAAGGAGGAGGGAGGAGGAGGAGGAGGAGGAGGAGGAGGAGGAGGAGGAGGAGGAGGAGGAGGAGGAGGAGGATGGAGGAGGAGGAGGAGGAGGAGCCCCTCCCCCTCCAGCTTATGGTGGTGGTGGCGGAAAACAGGCCCATCACCTATAGCTCCTCCTCGCTCCTGATGTTTGCCGCAATGTTACGCTCTTCCGCAGCGTCTGAGCTCGGGGTGCGAGGACGTCGACGACCCAGGCCCCCCCACCAGCTTTCGGCCTCACGTCACGTGGGCCCCTGCCTGGCCCTGGGGGCCGTCGAGAGGCTCGGCGGCGAGCGGGGGGGGGGAAGTTGGAAGGAGAAGGCCTTCTCAGAAGGCGGCGGGGCTTCTCAGAAGCCCTCGCGCGTTCTGAGAAATGTCCCGTGTCTTGAGGGGAAGCGGAAAACATGATGGACCCACGAACCCGGAAAGGGATATAGACATGTGCAGCATGGTCACGTTTTCACGATATCCAACTGGGCGACACCTCACGAAACATCCCACGAGACACCCCGCGAAACATCCTAGGAGACACCTCACGAAACAACCCACGAGACACCTCACGAAACATTCCACGAGACACCCCGTGAAACATTCCACGAGACACCCCACGAAC